GTGTTGGAATCATCTAAGCTCATGTGCCACAATTATAGGTGATGTGGTGCTGCAAGATGTCCTCAGCTAAATAAGTCTTTACAAGATGATTAACAGTGAGTGATGTTCATGTGATTATCAGGGAGAACATAAGTTGTAACCAAGGGGAGTACACTCTCAACTCATGTCCATGATAATGACTTGAACCTTAGTCAGTGTTGAGGTAAATTCGACATTGTTTTTAGATTCCAGGAGATTTGCTCGACTGCTTATACTGATTATTTTCATGAATGACTGAGTCGCTAAATCTCCAGCTAGACTGAAAAGGTTTTGAGATATATACTGAATGAGCGACTGAAAGAAACATGTTGTAATCATCTGTGGTGAATGAAGATAAAAGGAAAACAACACTACTTGATGATAATTATAAGTAAATTTGTTGACCAATTTTGTTAATAGTTTCATAAATTTTATTAATCATATTACGTGATTGTCAAGTTTCGAATGCTTCATGACGATATCCTGAAACCACAATGTTTAACTAGTGTTGATTGAGGATTAGCGGGTGGAAAAATAGATGTTGTTTCAGGTGATTCAAAATCATCAGAAATTTGTAGCGTTAAAGAACCCGAGCCGCCTAATTATACTATAAATTTCGATTCAAAAATATTCGTCTACATAATGTTGATTTCAGTAATAGGTTCAGAAGTTATGATTTTAAATGCTTGTTTGTCCGACAACTACCTGATAGTTTAGTTACTATACTAGTGCAGTCGATAGTACTTTAATTTGTAACTTTATTATCTAAGCTGTGTTCGTCTTTGTAGGTTAATAATATGATAGACCAATTCATAAACCCAAATACGTATAGCAATAACGACTATGATGGGTTTATTGTGAAATGCTAAAGACGATTGAGATGATTTTTAAATTTAAAAGATATAGAGATATAATTCAACGCATGTACAGGCCAAGCTAACTTGCAGGTTGGTAATGTATATGACAATTTTCTAGGAGACCGTTTTAGAAGTCAGGATTAGGAAATAGAGTGACGTTTGAACAACTGACCGATATCGGCTATAATTTAATAAACGTTCATCATCATATAGATGGACGAATCGTTTACAGAAACTCTATAGCTGCTAACTTGGATTTAATTGGTGTCGTGTCACCCTTAACGTCGCAAGTGCTATGAACTAAACCCACTCTAATGAAAGTTCCTAGTTTTTGTGATGGTCTTCAAGATCTAACGACGTCTTATCCGTTCATATAAACCAGAAAGATGTTGACATTCAACGTTTTGGTGTACACAAAAACTAGATCACTCTAACTTGTTCCCACAGTAATCTACAGCGCTAAGTTGAAAATATCGTTTGATTGGTTGAATTTAAAGAAAAAAATAGATAATCATTCGTTTTCGTACCTATGCTGCTACTTTGATTTCATTTTTTTTCACTTCTACTGCTATGACAGCATGATAATTGTCTGAGAAAGTCAAAATTGTCAGCTACTCATTATCACAATACAAAGAGTACTTTATAGAATAAACTACGTCTGGAGAACAAACTCTTCATTAAAAAGTCTTCCTCATGTTCCCTAATATTATATTAAGCGTTTAACTAAACAAAATCACTAACAGCAATTTTATGATCATAATATTGACAGACCCAACATGTTATTAATTAATAACAAAACAAGTGACTAAAAGTTTGAAGATAACCATATACTTTGTTTTTACAGAAAAGCCTTACGGTGAAAACGCGTAGAAAACTATTGGGGGCGCTGTTCCTCAAGGTTGATTTTCAAGGATTTTTGTGAGTAGGACGTTGAAACACTGTAGTACTGAACTTTCAAAAACTCATTGAAGTAAGTCACCAGTTCTCTGTTATACTTATGAGGGATATTTCTTTCTAATTTGATGACTGATAATGTGAAAGTTTTAAGTCGTCAGTCTTAGGTTTTCAGATATGAGAATAAATAAGCTGGTCTGAACTAATCCTTGCATCACGTTTTTCAGCTTCAAAGTACATAGGGCATTAAAAAACTAAAGTGAGCTCAAATACACGGGTAGCAAACGGACAATATTGATCAGTAAAGTATTTCAACCGAAAGTTGTAACTTTTGATGTTGAATCAAACGACAATAAAGAGAATTTGAAAGTCTACAGCACTATCAACCTAGCAACATATATTTAGGAATAAATCATTAGTTATCAATAGAGAGATTCCACTGCTTCCTATTTTCTCCCGTAGCATGGCAGTATTTTGTGCATCTGCGGTTATCGTATCCTGACTGACGACGCAGTATCTACTTGTAGCTGCCTTACACAATTTTTTGACCCTCATACCTAAGCCGTTTATGACTGAGTATTAATAAGAAGACCCGAATGTGATTTTCTTTCATTTCCCTATAGATACTTTGAAATTACAGTAATCAACTGGATTGAGTTCGGTATGGGATAAACGGTATTGTTATTTCCTTGACCCGGAAATTTAACTTCCTTCAGTCAACTCATCCACAGTGAGATTGCAAGGCTTTCGATTGCCGTAAAATTTGTCCATCAGATTACGGAACGGCTTGCAGAATAATATTACTGTTTTTTCTAAATCCGATGTATAATACATCGTTATCACAATTTAACCAGAAAGAAGTGAAAATGTTGTTTCATAGTGGTGGTGTGATGACGGACCACCGGTAAACTCGAGGAAGCTGTAAGAGGCTCAGATGGAGCCGAAGACGTCTCATTAAACCACCTTTCGGAAGAATATTCTAGAGTTCCAACGTGTAGCTTCCCGATTGGATAGTGCTAATAACCCCCTGTATACGGATTGGAAGACTGTAATGATGATTTCGTTCTCAATAAAAACTATAAATACCTGACAATTTTGTATTATGATTGACACTGTTTGGAATAATATTCCTTTCGTTAGTCTTCTTACTGCGACTTGGAAGGGTTTTGGTGTTCTAGTGCTCTGTTATACGCGGTAGTATCAAGAAAAATCAAATTTTCAAGATATAACAGGTGGCTCATGCTTTTTGTAAAAATAAATCAATTTTCCGATCTCACTGTGCGCACCAAAGTTAGGATGTTATTCAGATGTGCGCTTCAATTCGAAGATTTTAATCACTTGGTATGTGGCATTTTCAAATCACCAACTATGATAGGGTAGTTAACATAACCACAAGTGCAAATGTCCTAATACAAAGTTACCAGGAACAGAAATTTGACGACGATAAATCCATCCTGTATTCAACAACACCTCTCTAGACTTGCACTTTCATAATAGCCATCAAAATTTCTCCATTATCTAGTGTTTCTGAAATACTCGACTGCATATGAAAGTGATCTTAAACACATAATATAATGTTCACTATATACATTTTATAACCCTATTACTTCTAGTGATAGTGTGCTCTGTAAGGATGGGGATGAAACCCATATTTATGATAAGACCCATGTGTAAATGAACAGAAGTCGACTGTACCAAGAATTTAAAATCTTTCGGTGGGCAATATGAAAAACGAATTGCTAAAAGCGAAAAACAACAACTGTCACCTTAAAGTAACCGTGGAAAGTGCATCAAAGCAGTGACTTCGCTTAGTTACAGTGAATTAATAAACGACTAGTTAGATTAATAAACCCAACAGTAATTAAAACGGTAACAATTTTTATACAGCATTTGCCAAAAAACTGGATTATATCTTTTGTCGGTTGACGAAACTAACGTGTTATTGGTGTTTTGGGCACATAAATACCAGTATAATACTTTATTATGTTTAAATACAAGCTTCTGGCAGAATATACGTATCGGTATGCAAACGTGGAAAAATTCACTCCGTTTGTGGGATTTTTTCATTGCATTTTTGCTCAAACCAATATTATTTCCATAAATGTCTGACATAGTTCCTCTTGAGAAATTGTGCTTGATTTAAATAAAAATAAAGGAAGAACCAAGCTGTACAGTTTGTTTTGAGGGAGAATAATCCGCGACATTTGTGTTGTTCTATTAGGACAAAGTGGTCGAACTTTCGGTCTACATGAACACGGGCCAGCTGTTGAGTAAACATCGTAGATCAACTTTTGTCAATGCATGTGTACAAGTATGAACACGATTTCGACCGGGGAAACATCAAAATATTAGCAAAGGAAACGCAACCCGTTTTAAGAACCTAGTACCGCAATGATTATGCACATCGAGATCGGTTCAATCTATCAACTGGCAAGAGAGCGGATAAAATACTAAGCTAAGGATTGAACAGCGGCTACGCATTGAGTCAGTCCTAGGTCGACCGAAGCTGCTTGTCAGTAGAGGAATGCTAACGGATCGCTTTATATTAGTATGTACTGAAGAGGTCTATAACAATAGCTGGCAGACACTACACCTCAGACCTTTGTACCAAGATAATACGGATACAACACGTCTTCCTTCGGAAATGGGAGAACTTGACTAAGCATGCTTTCACACAAGCGATATTATACGTCATCCATGAATCACTACGCCAGAATATTTTACCAAAGAGTACCAAACAAACCATCAAACAACACCCCAATGGTACAGGATTTAGTCTAGAAAGGCTAAAGATTAATCGTGCAACCGGTAATCACCAACGAAAAGTACGGCATTTGTAAATACGATTTATGAACCAAATCAAAGTGCTGAAAAAGAGACGTAAACTCGATTTTCCACATTAAATCGTCTGAGGTCTGAATATCAAAGCATAAGCACCTCTCGAAATAGTGATGTCATACAGAGATAAATATTGTTAGCACAAAGTTCACTCTATATCCAAACATTCGTAGCAAAATTTCTTGAACTACGTATCTCTAACTTATGATCTGTGAACATCTATCAGCCATGCTTTATGCTCGAAGAGTAATACAGGGTGGACTGATGAATAGCTTAGTAACTATGTATTGAGGTGAGGAGTATGTTGTTTTACAAGAAAGAACACGCGTGTAACATAGATATGGCTAGTGCCCAAATTACATATAGAATAAGTCCTCTTCAATTTTGATTTTATTTACATAATAAGGTTCAAGGAGATGGTGGTTCTGATAAAAATCGTCTTTTAAAAGTGGTATTCATATACGGTCGATAAACCCACTCAATATCCGCTGTGGCTTCTTCATGTAACGGTCCACGCCAAATTTTATACACTGTAAGTAAAATAAAAGCATAACGCACACGAAGTTGAATAACTTTAATTATTGAATATAAATGTATTCAATAAAATCTGAGTAAGGAACAAAAGTAACGATAAGATTGTGAATTATTGCACAAGCGCATCTTAATATAAGTGCTTTTTCTTAGAACATAAAACAGTAATCTTGTTGATGAGAACAAATCAGCAACTAGTCAGGATTTCCCAGAAACAAGCCGATTATTTTATCGAAAAAAATGGGGAAAGTCAACACTAAACGAGCAGCAACTGTTGCGAATTAAAATTGCATACAAAGCATTTACTATCGTAACTGAATAATGTGCATTAATTTTACAGTTCATTCACATTAATTATATCAACTGAAGATTAAGTAAAACATAAATTTACTTAAAACAATTGACAATTAAAGTTATTATTGAATTTCAGGGACAGAATGATATTCTGAGAACTATTACATTGTTTAAAATCGAACAAATAAAAACGACTTAAGTGACCCTTAACTTCACTCTATCGCCTCTTATATAGGGTGGTACTTTTTTCAAAATGCTTATCATTGTTCACTTCACACAGAATCATCAAAGTTGTGATGTTCATAAATTTAAACGATGATTACAGCAACTCAATTTCTATGAACTAGTAAGTTATTTGACATTTTTGTGGCTTCACACTTGAATACTGAGGACATATATGACTTTTAAGGGTGATGAATAATGTGTTTATGTTTCTATTATTTCCTTGATTAGTTCATCAAATGAGTACAAACTATGATATGTACTGAATGGCAGTGATACATTTCTAGGGAAGGATTGAAGCAAAGAAAAAAACTGCATGCCAGAAACTAATCAGGTTCGACAGCAAGATCTAATAGCGAGTGAAGCACAAAGCTCATATCTTCTCAACCGTTTGTTTGTCGAGTCATATTTAATAATGCATATTTAAGTGTTGAATATTTTGTATATAATGATAACATTTTACCATTGAAAAAAATCTATTATACTGATATGATTTCAGTGTATAAGGAGGCTTGTATCAATAATTTGGAATCATGAACAGTTAACATATCGTAAAGAATCCATCCAACGACGTTCTTTCTATTATTTCAACAGCCCAATATAGATATGATTTATCACATTCTTTAGTCTTTCTTCTGCATCAAAAAATCATGCAATGTATCATACTTACAACGTAAATCGAATGAAGGCCCATGTTCAGTTAGTTCCAATTTTTTATCCATATATTTATATGTGTGGTGTCTTCAAAAAAAAGGAATAAACCATGAATAATAACAATCTTGTTACAATATAGTTGAAAATGATAATAAATAACACACTGCAATTATGAAATGGGACTTTACGACCTGAGATTTGATAAACACATTTCGAATATTCTTCGTTCAAATATTAGTCTTTTAATATGATAGCGATCTTTAAACAATTAACAGATTCCTTTACTAAGGGACTCACTAAGGGTTAAAGTATGTCTACTGACTCTTAAGCGTTATTAAAGTCAAAACTCAAAACTTATAAATGGGCTCAAAACCCGATTCTGTGGCAAATTGTCCTCAATAAATGAGGTGATTTTACCGACCACACTTAAAAATAATTTAACGCTACCCTACAAGTTGTTAGGTGTTTTATAGAGCGTACTACAGAAGTCTAGAAATCTGGCCATCTAATCAAAACAGGGTCAAATAGTCAATGGGTTTTGTACCCACCACGTAAGTGTACGTAGGTTAAGTGCTTATACGATTTCAAATTACTTGATCGTTAGTAGAGGTTGGTGAATGATATAACAATGGCCTTTGTATTACGAAAAAGCCCTCAAGCATCGGCTACACAAACTGAATTAGGTTAGCAGTGTTAGGACCTGCCTTGATTCTAGAGCTAACAAAATATCTACCGTATGAAAATTGTCTGTTCATGAAGTTAACAGGAATGTACTTTAGAACGTCATTCATAGAAATTTTGAACACAAGCGTTCTTCATATCAAAAGCAATATTCACCAAAATAAAACTATATATACGATTCACACAATATGTGAATGGTTTTTAGTTTTATCATTCAATTATCAATTCGTTAAATCACGATAAACTAGAGTAACAATAGAATATTTAATTTAGATCTGTTCCAAGTACTAAAACACAAGTATGATTTAGTCAGTGAGAACAGAAAAAAACCTCCCAAACAGGCTATATTACACATTATGGATAAAATAATATTGTCCTTTACTGTGTTTAAAGCCCATGTTTCAATGCAGTTAACATTCATGATAAAATAGATCACTCTTTGCTAATAATAAATCTTTTGAGCGGATACCTAAGTTTATGCGTTAATTATATATTAGAAAAGGCGGCTAACAATACCCAGTCATCACCATTATAAAACTTAATTTCCAAACAGAAATTTATCAGAACAATCTTGAATTTTAACGACGACAAAATTCAAATAGTTCACAATAAATCCTACTTATGCATGTAATTCTTGTTGAATAGAGTGGTAACTATGATCATTGAATAGCGAGGAAAATATATGAAGTGGAAGTTTGTAAGTTCAACTTTCACGAAAAAAACAACACTTGATTGTAGGTACATCCGACTTTTTTAACATGTTTCTCGAATTCCACTCACAAACCCAAACTAGAATGTGATCATTAATTTTCAACTGACAATAACCACCAATATTTAAGAATCAGTTCGGTACTGTAGGTTTACCTAACTTAAACCGTAATCGATAGTAAATTTATTATTTTCAATGCATACTATGGAATAATTCAATTTTAACCAATAGACATGTATGCCTTATCTTGGCCGTTGTAATGAAACAATTACGCATTCATAACAGTTTAACCTAAATACAAAGTTATTGATAACAACTGTTTGTTACAAGAAACACTTTTTGTATATCGTGTGAATCATGATTTACAACCCAGTTAATCTTATTCAGTTTACTTACCAAAAATTAATCGAATTATAATTATTAATCATAGATGATTCTTGATATCTTTTCATTGTGCTTAACTTCTTTTCATCGTAATCAAGTATCAACTAATTAACAATAATTGAAACCAGTGTTGGTAATTTTTAAGGCAACAATTTGAATAACACACCATAACCAATTTATCAAGAACAAATTTAAGTACCTACCATTTATTTCATACTTTACTTTAGGTATAAAAGATTTAGTGACACCTATACACCAACTACACAAATCAAAGCAGGTAAATAATACAGTTAGAACATGCTAATATTCAGTAACTGAGGTTCAAATGTCATAACCACAGCAACATCACTTCCAGAATAACACTACCACTAAACTTAAAATCTAGAAAAGTGATTCACTTTGAAATATGAATCGCCGTGAATCAACTATTAGCTGATACGACTAGATTATCTTCTATCTTTATAGGGTGTTGTGAGGATTGTTGAATTTCAGGTTTCACATAACGAAATGATTTTGATTAGATAACCACTAGAAAAACAAGAAACACTGGACAGTTATTATGAGCTATTACGGGATTCCTCAGTAGTGCATATCCACAATCTCCCTCCAGGTTGGGTCATGCAAAACTGATATCTCTTATTTTACATGACATATTAGAAATAGATAATTTCTCTCATTGTAAATAATGTTTTTTTTTAAATTTAAAGGTTATTGATGTGATTAATTAATTAATCATTCGTATTATTCTGGTTGGATATATTTTATAATATAAACGAAACAGCATTAATTTTCCAGCGGATACATATTCAGTAATCGTATTTCTATTTGGGAACTGATTCAGTGGACAAATCGGCAGTTAAACCTACATTCACCATTTTAACGCTAAGTCGATGGTGTCATCATAAGCGTTTGGCTTACTGTTTTAAAACGATTCAATATCAATAATCGCACGAATAAGTACCAAAACGAAGATTTTAAAGAATGACTGATGTCACTTTATGACAATCAGAATTATTCAAGAGAAACACAACAATTTTACTGACAAATGTCTCCTGAATAATTCACCAAATAACAAGTGACATGTTAAGATGAAATTCATATATAATAAACATTCTAACCTGAAACATATGACATCATCCTCCTCGTACCATGTAACCACACGTTTAGAATCATCTTTCGGTACAGGAAATAAATGTTTCAATATACAACGAACACGTTGACCTAATTTGGAATTTAATCCCTTAAATATATGATTAGGATATGTCTGAGGCATTTTCGCTCCGGTGCCACAACCCATAGTCTCCATATCATGACGTGTGCGTACATTGTATAAAGTGAATATAGCAGTTGGACCAAACGGCAAATGACTAATAATCAAAGTGTCTGGGACGCCGCGTGATTCGTTGACAATAACGATATCAGTAATCTGGAATCCCCAAGAAAAATATACACATAAAGGACAATAAAAACAATATTATTTTTTAAAGGCAATAAATGGTGTATTAACAATGCGTTATGATATGACTACATGAGACGGCTTCGGTTACTATTGCAGATTTGTAATCATTTGCATTTTAACACAGGAATTTTCAGGTTTTCTACATTTTTTATTATCGTTAAAATATAATTGTAAACAATAAAACTGAGACTAAGGACTTCAGCCAACAATACGTTTATTTAGAGGATCATTAGTGAATGACAGAAGTCATAAGCTAGTAGCGAACGCTCAAGTCATTTGCATTGATAAGGAATGGATTAGAAGGATTCATAAAAAAGTAAAGACGTGGTTATAACAACCACTATTCGATAATATGATACAGCTTTCTTACTTAACGTAAGCAACGTGAAAAGCCAGCATGTAAAAAGTAAGAAAATGGAAACTAGCACTATAGTATCAAAACAAAAATTTATGAACTAATATTTTTGATTCGTAAAGTAAAAACATAACAACAAACGAAATATCCGAGCTGCTATCAGTGAGCGAGTAAGCAGAAACGACGAAAAGACAACGAGAGATCACTGTCTTTTCAAATTCTTAGGGTCCCATGTAGTGAGACAGAACACAAGTGACTGTCTATCAAAATACAATCAAAAAGGGTGTATCCTGCTTTTAAACATAATACCATACTTGAGTCAGCAAAGCTAAGGGATATGGCAGTCAAGTTCCCTTTATTAATACTCTGGCTTTTATCTCGATTTCCTCTCCCGGTGGTAATATGGTGTGGTGAACGGAACCGGTAAAAATACGCGCCAGGTTCTACGTCGAATACGATTGACTGCGGACAACATAGGAGTACCTTGGGACGATTGTCGTGACAAAAACAACTCACTAACAAAGATATACAAAGCAAATGCATCAGATTTATGTTGCCTACCTTCCGTGAACTTTAATATCTTTCATCAAAATAATAAACTCGTACAATTGTCAGTAGACTACCTAGGCATTTAATTTCATGGTATGATTTCTTATCCAGTATTTAAGATTCTAATCTCATTTCTACAAACTTTTTCAAACCATCATAACTTTAAGTGTCGATTTCATGTAGATTAAAATCAGTTATTTTAATTAGAATATATTTCAACCAGGTTAGTGATAAAAATACATTATCACTGAAACTTTTCAGTAATAAAATAAGATGAGTTAAAAACTCACACACCTGTTTTGCTAAACAAGCTTCCAACAAATTCTTGTTCAAGTAGTTACCACGATTAATTTTAGCAGCATTCGGAATGAGAAAACGTAATTCCTTGGCGAATTCTTTTAGTTTTGAACTAGGAGAACGTGATGTAGTGATAACAACGCGCGGATCTTCAGTTCCAGCCCAAAGATACTCATCATCTTGATAATTAGCAACTCCTAATACAAACGAATTGTTAAGAACATATATAGAAAACACAGACGTTCGTACCTTCACCGCCATCATCACTCCAGTCTAATTCTTCATTTAACTGTAAAGCACCTTCTTGAATTTCTTTAGGTAGCACTTTCCCTTCAGCTAAAGCAACTTTTAACATCTTTTTCTTCTTTTCGTTTTCAGCATCTCGAACTTCAATCGATCTTCTGTAAATAAATTCTCTGCGTAATCTGGCTTGACGTTTCAACTGAATGTAAACACAGTATAATAAATAACACAAAAATAATAAGATCCTGTACATCTTTCGTAAGGAATAGCAATTATATCAACAGTGAAATTTATCTAGCAAAATACTAATGTTTGAAGAAAACCTGACAATAGTCATACTTATTCAAATTAAGAGGAATCTATAAAGTATTTTTGAATTTCTTTTCTCGATATCAATTCACTTTAAACCCTTAGAAAAAGTCATAACAGAAATTCAAACTGAAATATATATTGGGCCTAACAGCCAGGTTTCGATTTACAAGAGAGTGAGAGACCCACAGGATCGATTTCCTCGATCCCCTATAGCATCTAGTTATTTTTGTTTTTCACTTATCACTTTGTTTATAAGCATATAACTTTTTAAAAAGCAATCCTAGTGAGCACCTATCTTGTCTTCAGATATCCGTTCAAAATCCTTTCTACAGTAACCTATCTTTACCTATTTTTTATGAGCATTCAGGAACTCAACAGCTATAGCTTCAGCTTCTCTAGAGGAACGAAACTTTTATTCCCTTACTTACTTTTTTTGTGTCCAAAAAACATTAACAACAATATACAATAGGTGCCCCCAGAACCTAATATCCCACAGAGTCGCCAAATTTCGAAAGACAAAGCCTGGTTTCAGCCTGGCCTATTACTAAAAAAATACCACTTTACATGAAAATTTTTATGTAATACAAAACTACAATGAAAAAGAAACTAGATAGTTTGTACTGACTAGTTAAACAACAGAATAGGTCATCGGATAAGGTTGTTCTGATTTCGCAGCAGCGTAAATCGAAGTTCGGAGTGAAAAAAATTCTACTTCAGTGACTGATTTAAAATGTCTATTTCTTCTTTACTCGCTTCTTATCATACACCATCTTATGATGCTGTGCTGAGTTGTTCCACATACAGTGCAAAGCGATAAGTAACAACAAAATTTTTAAAATGAGTTAACTCTTGGTATTTGAGCAAGGTTAACTGATGTCGCGCTTTTATAATTATCATTCATAGGTCGATGTTTGCGAAGGTTATATCTCCCAAAACGTCGGAAGACTTGGCAGGTTAACTACCGATTTTCAAACCGTCTTACCCGGTTTATAAATCAACGACCATCATGTAGTTATTATTCGAAAATATGTTAAAACCAAAATATTCGCCAAGTAACAGTATACAGTAGTTAATAGTGGACTAGAAACAGTACGACGGCTATGATAATTTCCCGGACCAAAAACCGACACATGTGGTTGTCCTAAGGTCTCTCCTGTCAAACTTTGGACTAGGAAATATAATTGACAAGATAGTGAAACAACGTATTACGTTATACCCATGCAGTGATCAGTGACCTGGACGGGTTCATAAATCACTTTTCTTTCCAGACGCGGCCGCACAAGCACTAATAGTTTGGGTCCTCCATCTTCTAAAGTAGCTTTAATATCACACATTTTTATTTGTGTATATCTGTACGAAGTATCCCATAAACATAGGTAACACATTATTTAACCATCCAAAGATACTACTAGTTACAATATCACGTTCAAAAGTTCCCTAATAATACATATTCATTTCGAATTAAGCTGTACATCGATCTTCATGAAAACGAACATTTATCTACATTTTGTAAATTCTGAACAGTGTAGCTTTATTATGTGACATAGCTCATTATCTAATGTTTATGAATATTCTCCTTCAGTTTGGATATCTATATTAAACTTTAAAAAATTCTAAACACGATAACAAGCAGGTATTTATCGGAGTATCTAATCATGTGGACCGTATTTCTAGTACAAGACCATGAAACTTTCATCGTATGACAGCATCGCATAGAAATAACGCCGAAAATATAGATTTCAAAATTACTTGTTCGCTAACTTACAGAGCCCCTAGATGCCCTGGTACAACTGAGGGTGGGGAGAATCAGCTCTCCTCGCAGTGCTCTCACATGGCCACGTGTATACAGCCATTGTCAGGGAAGTCCTACTCACTTCCTTCTTGTAGCGCGGGTGTTGTCTACGAAATTAAGAGGACGATGTAGGAGTTATCAGATAATTTGTCAACCATTATGAACGTAGGATCTGACATGAATTTAAGTCATCACACTCCATCAGTTTAGAAAGAGGGATTCAACAAGGTGAAAAGGAAAGACTGGAAAATAATATTGAAGTTAATAGAAATCTGGACATTGAAACACAGTTCAAAATGAAAGCGAAGAACGGAAAATCGGAAAACAAGTACAGCCATGTCGTCCAGTTATTGATTACAAGCATTGGATAGACTACACTTAAGTATTCTGTACCTACTCATACCGTTCCAACTGGAATTCAGTGACTTCACAGATCGGCATGATGTCTTAATTTGCTTACTTTTAAGTTTTCTTAACACAGTTCTATATTAGGCAACATAGGACATAGAACTAGATGGTGGTTAGGGATAACTAACGTCCCGAAGTTATGGTTGGTAACTATTTTGGCAGAATTGTGAGCGTTTATAATATATTTATTTCAAAACCGATGCCATGAAAGTTTGGATATATGTATCTGAGCTGCAAGAACATAATCCGGACCAGAACAATGTCACAGAGAAAAGCTAAATGTTTCTCAATCGTTCAGCATTATGAAAATACCATGCACTGGAGCTAATATGAGAAGTTACGGTAATAATTAAGTCACAGCGATCTATAGTTAACCTTTGCCAATTTAGAAACAGAGCCTACAACAAAGATGTAGGAAGTTTATGATTTGCACTATTGGATTTTAATGTATCTGCAGAGGCTGTGGAAGGAAAAGCAGTGATTTTTTCGACAATTAGCGATTACCATAAACGGGATGTTCATATAGTGTCACGTAGTCAGAGTATTCATGTAACATAACAACATCGCAGCGATCTGATAAATTAGATGAAAGTTTAGTGATCAATACAGTGTCTGGGTCTTAAGAAGTTTTGAAATATATCACTAATTACCTACCAAGCAAACACCAAAACTATGTGATGGCGCTTCACTTCATAGTAACGAGGAAACTCTGCACATCGAGTGAGTACTTTTGAAGTTGTGTTCCCCAGACTAGGTTATTTAGTTGTACAGCTACCGTCATTTTGGCGAGTGTTTACTTCATATGTATGTGAAGTATTTTGTTCTACATAAAATACAAAACCAATAGCATTTAGAGACTTTCGAAATGACAGGACGACAACTCCCTGGGAGATTACTCAGTTAGTTGGAGAACCATGAATCACTTTAAGAAATACACACGATTGTCGAATATATATTCACTAATTTCCACCCTGTCCGTACTAACACTGGACGTTGTTACGATAGACATTTGTACATATTTATTCTTTAAACATGTCACATTGGTACATTTATTTTGTTGTTGAATGCAGTGAAGCACCAATAGTAATGTCGCCAAGATTGGGAACAAGCTTACCATCTATGATGTTACACTTTAAAGTGGCGGCTTACCTTAAAAGGTCGTTCAAGGCAAATTAAAAAATGCTGGATTTTCTTCAGATAGAAAGAGTGAACCAAGTATTTTGATAATTTTGTCTGCATCTATTTGGGAGGTTCAAAAGCGAAGCAATATTAAAACACCTATCTAAGCTTTTCGAGAAATGAGAAAACAAACCTATAGGTTAGCTTCCTTTTCCGAGAGAGGACAGGGTGCTGAATGAATCAGGTTAGTCATCTCTTTGGAGGTCTCCCAGTTGGTGAAGCTTCAAGCAACTGTTAAGGCAAAAGGACTGAGAAGGTCATTTACGCAAACACCGGTCCCAATACTAAACCATGTAGCATTCTCATTAGCATAGATCTCCATGGGACGACACACTTCCAGCTAAATCTAGTCCAATAGAAACTGATTCTCCTGAAGTTATCGTACAAGCTGACTCCAATAAACTTGAATTCATCTTAATTATACGAAGAAACTCTCCAGCTCTGGCAGAGAAGAGTGAACAGTCGAAATCCTCATGAAGTCAGGAAATACGTAGGACTCAATACGCCTCTATGGCTCTTCCAGAAACAGTGAACAGGTTCGCCATTCTGATGTCATCTAACTTACCCTCAAACACTCTAGCTTATCTGATCAATTCATTATTCATTCTAATCATTGGGATCGGGTGCATACCCAATATTTCTGATTTACCACTGTGTGAAGATCTTTGATAGAGTGAATTGAGGAACTCCTTAGTAGGCCGGCTCCAATGAATCCACCGGACATCGAAGCAGCACACACAGATCTTCCTATAGATGTCAATCCACCAACGACGGAAGAAATCAGAATGGCCATCAGACAAATCAAGAACGGGAAAGCAGCAGGACCTGACAATATACCAGCTGAAGCACTGAAGCCAGACATCGAACTAACCACAAACATGCTTCACCTTCTATTCAAAAAGATTTGGGAGGAGGAACAAGTGCCGATAAACTGTAAAAAAAGACACCTCATCAAGATTCCAAAGAAGGGAAATCTGAGCAGATGTGAAAACTATAGAGGCATTACACTACTGTCAATACCAGGGAAAGTCTTTAACAGACTATTGCTGAACCGGATGAAATACGCAGCATACTCCCAACTTCGAGATCAACAGGCTGGATTTCTTAAGAATCGGTCGTGCACAGACCAAATTGCGACACTACGGATCATCGTCGAACATTCAGTTGAGTGGAACTCGTCACTGTACATCAACTTCATTGATTATGAAAAGGCATTTGACAGTGTAGATAAGAGGACGTTATGGAAAATTCTTCGACACTACGGAGTTCCTGAGAAGATTGTCAATATTATCCGGAACTCATACGACGGACTACAGTGCAAAGTAGTGCATGGAGGACAGCTGACAGATGCATTCCAAGTAAGGACCTGAGTCAGACAAGGCTGTTTACTCTCTCCCTTCCTCTTTCTTCTGGTGGTCGACTGGATTACGAGGACCTCGACATCTGAAGGAAAACACGGAATACAATGGACAGCTCAGAACCAATTAGACGGTTTGGACTTCACAGATGACCTAGCCCTTCTATCCCATACACAAGAACAAATACAGATAAAGACAGCTAGTGTAGCAGCAGTCTCTGCATCACTAGGCCTTAACATACACAAGGGGAAAACCAAAGTCCTCAAATTCAAAGCGGAGGACAGCAATCCAACCACTCTTGATAGCGAAACTTTGGCAGATATAGAATCCTTCACATATCTGGGAAGCATCATCGATGAACAAAGAGATTCCGATGCAGACGTAAAGGCAAGGATCGGCAAAGCAAGGGTCGCATTCCTACAATTGAAGAATATATGGAACTCAAAACAACTTTCAACCAATATCAAATTCAGAATCTTCAATACGAACGTCAAGGCAGTTCTACTGTATGGAGCTGAAACTTGGAGAACTACAACAACCACAATCAAGAAAGTACAAGTATTTATAAATAGCTGTCTACGCAAGATACTCAACATCCATTGGCCGGATACCATCAGCAATAGCCTTCTGTGGGAGAGAACGAACCAGCTTCCAGCTGAAGAGGAAATTCGAAAAAGACGAAGGAAATAGATAGGACATAAATTACGCAACTCATCAAACTGCATCACTAGGCAAGCCGGAACCTGGAATCCTGTAAAGAAGCGGAAAAGAAGAAGGCCAAAGAACACATCACACCATGAAACAGAATCAGATATGAAAAGGATGAATAAGAACTGGAAGGAGCTGGAAAGGGTTGCCCAGGACAGGGTTGGATGGAGAATGCTGGTGAGCGGCCCATGTTCTATCACTAGGAGTAACAGGCGTAAGTATGTGAGTAAGTAGATCTTCACAAAATGTACCGTAAAGATCAGAATTCAGGTAAAGGCTGAGGTTTTATGATATAAGTTTGACCTGGTGCTCAATCGACTATGATCTTTTCAGATGGTTGCGACAACTTAGAATATTATAATCGTCACTGTGGATAGTTTTTCCCATCAACATTTGATAAACTTTGCGTCTAAAAACCACCACGTGCCGCTTGTGCAATGGAAACATATGTAAATCAAGTTTTCACATCCTTATCCTCATTACCATCATTATAATATTAATTATTATTATCATTCACAAACATCTTATAGGTACATAAGTGTTGTGAAGAAACCACTTCGGGTTGCTTCAAAAATACAATAATACACAAGTTTCAATAATGATAGCATTATATTTGCCATATTTGAAAAAGAGAATAATAATAATAGAATAATAATAAATCGGGTTCTGTGTAATTCAGAAGAGTATTGGACTGAGTTTAAAGAAGGAAAGGAAGAAAATAAAGGAATAGAAATAAAGGAGACGTGAAATACGCAAATAGTTTAATAAGCGTGTTCATGAACACAGAACAAGAATAAACGACCATGTGTGTATCGTCATATTAGTAACAAACATAAAACAGAAAATAATTATGAAAAAATAACTTATTACTGTAGTAAGATATGACGCTAGAATATTTGTTTGTGCAGTTATAGCTTGCGGTGGTGCAATGAAAGTCTCAATTAAGTGAAAGGATAACCAAATATCGACATGTACGAGTCATATATGCATAGTGAAGCTCAAACGAGTCTGAGAAGTTAATTTAAATGCAACACAAGTTGTTGTCCTTATTACAAACTTCGTATTCTTCAGAATAATATTTATTTAGATGGGAAAAGGATAGAGGAAAGAAATGAACACCTAGTGAAAGGGGTAAACCATAATAATAATAATAATAATAATAATAATAATAATAATAATTGTGTAATGAATATCGACCTATAAAGTAAACCAACAAGTAAAAATAAAATAAAGTATGATAAAAAATTTCTTCAGTGCACTCGGATAAATACATGTAGATTTATGTAATAATATACAGAATGAAACTGGATATTAGTATAAACATTTGTGTTGGTGGACCGATAATGATATAAACAACAGTGATAATTATAAATACGAACATGAGCAGATTTCATATATTAAGATGAATGGAAATAAAATAAAACAGACGTGAAAAGTTTCAAAAGTTACATTTTGATTTTCAGTCAACTGGATGGATAACGCACCTTGTTTGTATAGATCATTACTAAACACATTGATGTTAAATAGGTGACATGATCCACTTTCGGAAAGAAAATCATCAAGGAGACTTCTGAACCGGGTTGTTGTTTAACTGCAACGGAGGTTCATTGGTATTCTGTTCCACATGGTTGAATAGCAACTAACGAAAAAATTCTGGCGTAAGTTTGTGTGGGTTCTTGGAATCGCTAGAATATTTTCCTTATTGCGTAGATCGTGGGATGGTATCATACAGTATGAAGGGATGGGTACTGAAGAGCAAGAAATACTGTTAATAAGCCGGTAGATAAAGACGAGATTTAATTTGATACCTCTGATCCATAGAGGCTCTAATTTGAGTTGTTGACATCTTTGGTGATAGTCTTTGGTGTCTGGATACCCAAGACGGCTTTTATAAACCTGCTCTGAACACCTTCAATTTTAATCAGGCCATTATGACTGCAATTACTGTAAACTAAAGTACCATATTCAAGAATGGGTAAGATATATTTTCTGCATAACAATAATCTCGATTCGATATTATTGAAGTTTATCATTATGAATCCGATGAGCTTTCTGGCTTTGGATACTTGAGATCCAATGTTCTCAGAAAAGTTCAAACTGTTTCTATATCTTAAACCCAAGTCCCAGACAGTGTTGAGAGGTTTCAGTGTATGTTTGTGTATGGCCAGATTTAGTTTAAGGCAGCGGCCAATGTTAATAAATCCACTTTTGTCAACATTAAGTGGCAAATTCCACGAAACTGTCCGTTCGTATAACTTGTTTATTTCTTCTTGGATTACTGCTGAAATCTAGCTTTCTTTGATGGCAGAAAAGAATACATAAACTAATTTTAGGTCATTGGCAAAAAGGGAAGGTTTACCACACTGGAAGAGGGAACACACGTCATTGATAAAAAGTGGAAAGAGTAATGGATCAACCACACTTCTTTGTATAACCTCACTGGCTACATTCACAGGTTTAGAGTAGCAAGATCCAAAACGGACGATTTGCATACGTTCTAAAAAAGATTTGAGCCAAGATAAATGAGGATTCTGTGTGCCAAATGAAGAGATTTTTAGAGGAAGACGTTTGTGTGAGATACTGTCGAAAGCCCTACTAAAATCGAAGTAAAGAATTACCACTGACTGACCAACATTTCTTCTCTGGGTAATTTGATCGAAAAATTCCAGGCGCGATTTGAAGCATGGGCGTTTAGTCATAAACCCGTGTTGGGATGGGCTAGTCAGACTAGCCGAAAGTAAAAATGCTAATAGCTGTTTGTGGGTGATTTTTTCCATGGTTTTTGATAGCACGGATTTCAAATTAATTGACCTATAGTTAACAATATCACTACGTGATCCTGTTTAAAATCTAGGGGTGATAAGAGATGTTTTCCATACAGATTGATAAGCTCCATATTCCATGGAT